TACGTGCAAAAAAGACGATTGCGCCCATTACGCCGCACATGTTACATATCGCCGCGAACGTCGCAGTGAGAGCAATAAGTCTAGGGCCATCAATCACTGATAACACTAAACTGATGAGCGGTAAAAACGTTTAAAGCGTCGCCTATGGCTAATTTTGGTTGCGGTCGTTTTCTGCGATGTCGCGGGTGCGCGCAATTTTAAAGCTTGACATGTTTGGTGTCTATTTAACCGACGTGACCCGATCTTTTATATTTGACCAAAAAACTGGGTAATAATAAATGTTTCCTAACATAATGTTTAAAAAAACGTTTTTTTTTCAAAATTTTCAGTAATTTTTCCTAATTATAATAAAAAATAAAACCCCCAGTGGTGATTAAATGCCACCAAAAGAAAGCTCTATCTGTCCCCAAAAAATGGTGTAAAATTCATTTCAGTACAGCGCTGCATGACGGAATAAACGTCAGTCAAAGTATCGCAGCGCTGAATACTGAAAAATGGCCTGGCCAGGAAGGGGGTCTAAACACCTGGTCTTGAAGTGGTTAATGTCACTTTAAAGTGAACCTCTGCTTCAACAGTGTGAAGCTGGCCATACACCTTTCAATTATCTGCAGATTTTCTAGGGTCAGATGGAAAAAGTGAAACAGATTCTTCCATCTACGCTACACTGTGTGGATGGAGGAATCTCCAACTGGGCCAAGCTTCTGTATCTTGCTAGTCAGCCCCGCTGGCTGTCAAAATACCTGAACAATCTGATTGGATGCAGACATTGTTCAGTTGTTTTGAGAACCAGTGTGGCCGACTAGCAAGATACAGAAGCTTGGCCCAGTGGGAGATTCCACCACCCACACAGTGTAGCGTAGATGGAAGAATCTGTTTCACTTTTTCCATCTGACCCTAGAAAATCTGCAGATAATTGTAAGGTGTATGATCACCTTTACAGGTTCATTTGAATTAATCCTAGCCACACCATTTCATTGAAATAAATGGGCTGACGCCTGGCAACGCTGGCACAAATGCAAGCAAAAGTGTGTACATCGCAGAGTGTGAACGGGGCCTTATTCAACATTTCCTCAAAGTTTAAACACAGAGCTCTTAGATTTCAGCCTGTAACTTTCCATTTCAGTTGCTTGGGGAAAAGTCTGAACTACTTTTATGGGTCACACGGCGGCCATCTTTTCTGCCGAACCCTTGGCCCAGCCCTGCCTGACAGCTCTGCCTCTGTTGCTGATACCCTCCTACTGTAAGCTGCAGTGTCTGGGAGGGGGAGCGTGTGAGACACCATTGAATTTGTGCATTGCATAGTAACTGGATTTGGTAGTTAGATTGGCATTCGGGAGCCTTCAGTTGTACTTTAACTGGAGCAAATAAAAAGCTAAGGCTTTCTGACGTTTCTCTGAATTTTTATAACTGCATATTTGTTACTACAGGCCATTAAAATTATTAAACCTAGTGGGGTAGAATACAGTACAGTATATATATATATATATATATATACATTTATATGATTTAGGTCTAGTAAATGGGCTGTAAAGGGAGACTACGGGTAATGATTAAACTCATTCTTTGCATAGTCTGTCCTGGAAACACTAAAAATGAGGTATAGTCAGAGTGTCGGCTTTACCTTCATTCTTAGTTTTATATAATCCACTTTAATGGCATATATAGAAGGCTTTACGTGGTGTTGGTCAGCAGCCTCTTGTCACAGGAATGTGCTAGCTGCCCCAACAGACTGAAATAAAGATGCTTTCCTTGCACATGGAGAAGGTTAGATTCTCTGTCAGATTTGAACTATTTATTTCTACATGTGTTGCTGTTGCAGATTTTTCCTCACTTCCTGTCTTCTGAAACCACAGTCAACAGGACAAGAAGTAAGGATAAATCTCTCTAACTGAGCCCGGGATAGCAGTAAAAACCCAACAGGGGTTCTAATCCTTTTCGACTCAGTCAAAACTAGCCAACAAGTGTTTGACTTGACATATCCACTAAACTTGAACTGTATTCACCCCCCTCCATCTACGTGACGTCTCCAAGCTCCGTCGTTAGTGCTAAAATCAACGACTGGCCATCTTGATTGACATAACTCCTGTGCATGTAAGTCTCTGTGTACATTGTCAGGAAGATTGCAAACAGACAGGTAAGAATTCCTTATTGCAGAAGATACATACCTTGGAATTCATAAAAAGTGTCATTGTGGGGGCAGCCACTGGGACCAGAATGTCCATGCTGTGAACACTCCAACCTCGGTGCATGCTTAGCCCCTAGGCCGTGCCGGGTCATTGCTCGCTAGGGTACTGCCGGCTGCCCAGTGTCTTCAATTGTTATGGTGCGATGTTTAAGGTGAATCAACTTTTTGCAGCCATGATGACATTAATGTTGGTATGTGTTGGTATTAAAGTGACATTAAAGGAGAACTATGGGGTCAGTGTTTTTCCCCATAGACCCCCCCCAGTGCTAATGTAAGAACTTACCTTAAATGTCACATGGAACTATCACAAACCTTTTATGAATTTGGGGTAAGAGATCTAGATAGAGCCATAAGGCCAGGATTGTGCCGCAAAGCCTTTATTGGATCACCCCCATTGTATGTCTCCTCATGCCTGCTCACACTTTGTTATAGTTTATGTAAAGTTACACTTTAAAGGGTTTCTAAACCCTCTGTTTTTTTGCATATATCTACTATTTTTTTTAAAAACCTGCTTTAAAAGCGTTTTAAACTTACCTGTGTCTTCGACGCCTGCTCCCGTCCGAAAATCCTAAACTGCTCGGGCGGCCGCAAAGCATCTTGGGGCGGGCGCGTGCGCAGTTTGGATTTTCGGCCGGGAGACGAGGAGAGACACAAGGTAAGTCTATGGACGCGTGCACACGCATGCAGACACCGTGGGATAGGAAGTGCCAGCAAGGACAGAGGAGTCAGCGCTGGATCGGACGCCCGCCGCACCTCTGGAGGGACAGATGAAAACAGGAAAGAAGAAGACCAGATTAAGAGACATCATTTAAGGTAAGTGCTGACATTAACATTGGGTTAAGGGGGGAAAAAAATGACTTTAATGTCACTTTAAGTTTATTTTTATGCTCTCCTTACTAGTGACAGTTTTGGAGAACAAAAAGTAGAAGACGTACAGGAAGAAGTGTCGGGACTTGGGAACACGTCTTGGGTTTTGTATTTGGCTGGAGGAAATATTTAAGGATATTTATATTCTTTGTCTTCGTAGTACCATTATCATAAGTAATATAAAAAAAAAATGTTATGAAAACAGTGAGGCGAAGCTTCTGGCAGCGAAGGAGTTAAACTTGGCAAAGTTTGGGAGACTGCGGAAGGAAGTGGCTGCATAAGAACTGCCAGCAATGCTCGGGTTCCACCTTAAGCCTGCTAGACAAGGGGAGGGAGCTCTGGGTGTAACGTGAAGCTGGGAGGCTGCTGGGTTTGGTTCCTCACTGCTGTTATTGACGCTCATCAAAGCCATGGGAGGGACGGCCAGACAGACAGACGGCCAAACAAGGAAGTTCTCCTCTAACTACTGCCTTATCACTCTAAGAGGCTGCAGCAATTCTTCATCTCAGCATGACAGGTCAGTGACCACAGACCCTCCACCATGCATTGCTGTGTAGAGGTGACACTGCGACACGAGCTTGTCACTGCAGACAAGAAAAGAAAGTGACTTTGGAGAACTATGTGCTGTCTGGTTGTGTCAGAAGTAGATGGCACTGTGCGTGTGTAATATGCTCCGATGTTACAGTGGATTCCTGCTATGGAACCAGTACTAGATCCTTCTTTAAAAGCGGGGTGATCTGAGGACTCGAGTTGTCCTCAGAATACCATCCTCTTCTGTTTAGGCCTCATTCACACTGGCAATTCCAAATCTGCATTTTTAGGGCATTTGTAAACAGATATAAATGCATCTAATTCTTTCCATCTTTTAATGGTATTATTCAAAGTGAGTGTTTAACTGCGTTTAGGTGCAGCCAGCTTAGCTGCGTTTAGTGAAAGTAGAATTCTGTGCCTCCAGGATCCGACTAGAAACTCGAAAGGGCCTATTCACACTACAGCGTTGCGTTAATTGTGCGTTGCAGTGTAAAAAGGTGGTACATGCACTGCTTTTTTCATGACAACACAAATTATTGCAGTACCAAGTGTTGCAAAGCAATGCATGGCCACCGGGAGATGCATTAGGGTGCCATTCAGATGAACGGCAATGCAACTCAGTGCACGGTAACACACGCTAGGTGCACTGTGCAATAGCTTGTGTTAAACGTACAGTATTGTGCAATTGATGCAACTCTGTGGTGTGAACAGGTCCTTAAAGTGACATTAAAGTCACAACTTCTGCCCTCCTCCACGCTGCTTTAAGGACTTACCTTAAATGATGCCTCTTGATCTGATCATCTTTTCAGTAGTTTTGAGGAGTCCCTCCAGCGCTGGTGCCGGTCACTGATCCAGCGCTGGCTGCTGTGTCCCACGGTGTCTGTCCGACGTGCACGCTCCTGGCTGTGTGCATTCACCTCCACTGTATCTCTCCTCTTCCCGCCGAAGATTTCTACTGCACATGCGCCCGCCCTGTAATCTTGCACGGCTGCTCGGGAATCTTCAGATCATCAGACGGGAGTGCACGGTGGTAACTCAGGTGAGTAATTATCTATTTGGTAACTTTAAAAAAAAAATGTTTTTGCATATCTCTGCTGCATGCTAGCAATAGATATATGTAAAAACAAAAATGACTTTAATACTACTCTAATGCAGCTAAACCCACTTTAAAGGAGAACTATGAGGTGAGTGCTTTTCACGTGACAGGGGAGGGGCTGGATTCCCCCCTCCCCGATCCGCTAGCGCTGACTGGCGGTATGGACGGGGGAGGAGTCCTCCCGTTACCCTAAGGAGAACTATGGGGAAAAGCCCTGACCCCATACTTCTCCTTTAAGGCAGGAACATCTAAACCCAGGAAAATATGATCTAAGAAATCTAAAAGTTGTTTATACTTCCCAGATAATTTCTCCTGCATTTAGATAACCTAAACTCAGGAGTGCCAGTGTGGATGTAGCCTAAAGCTGGCCATATACTGCTCCAATCCCAGATAGCAAGGATAACTTGCTACAAAACTTGTGGCAGGGTTAAATTGTAATTCTTGTTAACTTGCTACACACATTCCTGGCAAGTTGTAGACTTGCAGAACACTTGCAGCACAAGTTCTAGTTGACACTTTGAATTTGTAGCCAATTTGCTTGGCAAGTCTACAGCAAGAGTCCTGCAGGTCTTAGCAAGAGCTCTGCAAGTGTACAGCACTTTTGCAAAGCCCGTTGATCTGGAGACTTGCAACGCAGACTTGCTGTAATTGTGCAACAAAATTGTGACGCTTGGCAAGTCTAGCAATACTTTAGCAAGTCATTTTCAAACTTGCAGCTCAATTGCTTGCTATCTGGGATGCTGACTTAGCCTAAATTCGAGCAGTGCTTGGCTCCATGGCTACCCCTCCATTTGACAAAAGTAAAATTTTCAATCAGCTTTTGTCTAAGGAGCCAGTAAAAAAATTCTCCAATCACCTGCAGTGGCTGTTTGGGTATTCTGACAGCGGCACACCCACCGCTGTCAGAATACAAAAGCCTGGTAGGGGGGTTCCCCCATCCACACCCTGAGGGCGGAATGAGGAAAAAAGAAATAGTGTATGGCCATCCTAAACCTGGCTGCTGTCAGAATACAGAAGAACAGAGGGGCCATTTCTTTATCAGTGCTATTAGCGTGTATGGGGGAATCCAGTGTATGGCCAGCTTTAGACATATATTATGACTTGGGAACGTTTACTGATCTCTTGGAGATCTTTTGTTATGCATTTGCTGCATTGCAAGTAGACATCTTATTATTTCCTCTGTGGCTGGTTCACATCTATGCGGCAGTTTTTTTACCTGTAACGGAAGTCCCATTAAGGAAGCCAGGCGGCGTGTATTGACACCAGGTGACGAGGAAGCATGGAGCCGACTTTCTGGCCAATCAGGGAGCAGGACTCGCCCCTTGGCTTCCTGATTGGTCCGAAAGCCAGCTCCATGCTCCCTGGTGACGAGGGAGCATGGTACCTGCTTCCCGGCCAATAAGGAACCCGGGCAGCGTGTAATGATTTGCCGCCCAGCTTTCTGATACCAGAAGTTCTGGGTTTGGGGATAGGCATCGGGAGGCGTTTGGGCAAGTACGGTATCGGCACCGGTACTGGTATCGGTGTATCCATAGTTCACACCTACTCATGTTCAATGCCACACGTGCTGTGTGCATACAGAACAGTGTGAATTCAGGAAAATCACACAGGGACAATCTTTGAGATTTGAGGGCTAAACTACGCAGACAATTTTTCATGATTTACCATCGCCTACAGTAAGCTTTGTACAACAAAAAAACTGTTATTGGTCCCAGATTCCCTCTGGGCCCATTCACAAACACATATAGTGGTGTCCTGTGTTGTACCACACTGGATCAGCGCAGGTCACCTGAAGTACACGTAGAAAACTGTTGTCCCATTAATATGACAAATGCGGTGGGTAGTCCCCTGCTATACAATGCAATCATGCTGCATTTTATCTTTTATATCGTCCTTCTCATTGATTTTGGATTAGTAGATGACCACACGTTGCCGAGATTGTTATACAAACATCTGTGATGGCGCCCAAATACAATATGCTCAAGAGGTGAGCATTGGACAATTGCTGCAATGCTGAGTGGTCTAACTATTACAATAAAACCACATGGTGTTGAGTACGAGCCGGTAGATCCCCCTTCATTACCAGGTCATTTTTTAGTGCTGAGATGGTTTGGCTGACAACTACTTTTACAATTATTGCAACACTGAACCCAAATAGATTTTGTGGCATTTTTTTAGACGGATAAATCTTTCTTTTAGTGGAATTTAATAGCCATTGGCTTTTTACTTTACAGCATATACTACCATTTATAATATCAGCATTGTAATAGGAATCACACGCCCCTGTTTGTATTCCTATTGCCTGACGCCTGGGACATGCAGTTCCGTGTACTGTTGTGGGCAAGCAGGGCTAAATGTAGAGCAGGGGAGCCGCCGCTCTTTTTGTACATGTGGTCTGGGTGGCTGTACAGCCGCCCAAATCACTTGTAGCAGCCTTGTCGCCCCTTTGCTCACCCACCTCCCCACCATGGTTTTTGGGGTCCTCCTCTCTTCTGGGGGACCCAAGACCATGGCAAATGACTTCAGGATGGAGGACAGGGAGCCGACTGGAGAACGTCCGTTCCCCAATCTGCTCTGTGTGACCAGTGAGACAGGAGCGCTGTACTCGCAGCGCTTCTTTCTCAGCTGTCACAAGCCGGGCTGTACAGGAGATCAAGCACATTGCTGTGCTCGTACTTCTGTATTGGAGGGCAGGCTCCATAAAGAGAGCTTGTCTCCTCCAAATGCTATCACATAGGGACTTGTTAGACGCTGTGTAAAATCTATATAAAAACAATGCAATGATTTGCAAATCTCACAAACCCAAATTTTATTCACAATAGAAAACATCAAATGTTTAAACTGAGAAAATGTACTATTTGAAGAAAAAAATACGGTCATTTTGAAATTGATGGCAGCAACACGTCTCAAAAAAGTTGTGACAGGGCCATGTTTAACACGGTGTAGCATCCCCCCTTCTTTTAACAACACTCTATAAATATTTGGGAACTGAGGAGACCAGTTGCTGGAGTTTTGGGAGAGGAATGTTGGCCCATTCTTGCCATAGGATTTTAACTGCTCAACAGTCCTGGGTCTTCTTTTTTCACCAATTTGAAAATATTTGCGCCAACTATTTTCAATTGGTGAAAGGTCTGGACTGCAGACAGGCCAGTTAGGCACATGGACTCTTCTACTATGAAGCCATGTTGTTGTCATAAATGCATTATGTGGTTTAGCATTGCCCTGCTGAAATATGTAAGGCCTTCCCTAAAAAAGATGTCATCCGAATGCTAGCATATGCTGCTCTAAAACCTGGATATATAGGCATTGATGTTGCCTTTCCATGTGCAAGCTGCCCATTCCATTCGCACTAATGCACCTCTATACCATCAGAGATTCAGGCTTTTAAACTGAGCACTGATAACAAGACAGACGGTCCCTCCCCTCTATAGTCCGGAGGCTCTACAGTCCAGAGGCTCATGTTTGCCAAAAAGAATGTAAAATTTCGATTTGTTTGATCACAAAACCTTTTTTTAGAAGTGTTCCTGTTATCAATTTTAAAACTACCTGATTTTTTTCTTAAAATTGTACATTTTTCTCAGTTTAATCATTTGATGTTTTCTATTGTGAATACAATTTTGGTTTATGAGATTTACAAATCATTGCATTCTGTTTTTATGTAGATTTGACAGTGTCCGAACTGTTTTGGAATTGGCGTTGTAATGTACATGAGCCAGGCACAAAAGAAACCTGTTTAGTGCATCTGGGATTTTATTCCAGTAGCAGGCCTGGGCAACATTTTTAAGGGCTGTGAAATGATTTGACTCAATGATGGCATCGTGGAATTTTGAAAAATGATTTTGAGAGTCCGTTCAAACAAAATTATAACAATGTATTGCCAGCTTTAGGGC